CGGTTTTTTTTCAAGTTTGTAATTTGTTGGGACTATTTCTTGCATTGTGTTCGCGTTTGCCGGCGACCTTGTACATTTTCTGGTCGCCGTACGGTCGCGGATGGTCGCGCCGTCCAGTGTGACGGGGGTATTAGCGTTTGTTTTGAACATGCTCAAAACAAACGCCGTGACTCGGCGATCATTGGCGACCATGGCGAACACGGCACGATGTCTGGCGTTTCCACCACGCTTATACCACGCTTATGGCGACCTTGACGCGCTCTGGGCCAATTTTTCGTCGCCGTAGCAGCGCAGTAAGGACGCCACCCCGGTCTGACGGGGGTGTAAGGTTTCATGTTTCCAGTTACTCGAGTATGCCTAACTAACTACAAACTATTACTTAGTGGTGTTTGTAGTGAGGGATTTCATCTGAATAGATTTTGCGACATTTTTAAAAGCATGTGTATTGCGTTTCCAATAGTATCACTCGCCGAGTATAAATTCCCAAATGCAATCTCTGCGGTTGGCTCAACGCTGCATTTCGTGCAGGTTTTTCGAAATTGTGTGCGCTATGTCTACGGTTTTGCTTTCCTGTCATGCGACAGCTAGTGCACGACAATTCAATAGTGACGAATCGATTGCGTATAGAGTTGCTAGACATGATTATTGCTTTACGTGAAGTAACTGCAGAATATTTCGATGAAATGGTGGAAAATTGTAATAAATTATCTGTTGAAGGGCGATCTCTTTTCGAAATTTCAAAACAAAGGCTGAATTTATATAAATTTAGCTATTGTTTGCGTTCATTGCAGTGATTTCATGAATAACTAGACAGAGTGCACTCACGGAGGGTGCATACCTCTGCCAGCAACATACGCCATGCGCCATACGACTCACGAACACACGAATAACCCACGATATACGCCAGCGTACTGACATGTACACGCTGGCTTGCTGGCTTGCTGCTCGCTCGCTCGTAGCAGCCGCTCGTTGCTGCTGCTCGCTCACATGTACACGCTGGCTTGCTGGCTTGCTGCTCGCTCGCTCGTAGCAGCCGCTCGTTGCTGCTGCTCGCCCACATCTACACGCTCGCTGGCTCGCTGCGCTGGCTGGCTCGCTGGCTCGCTGGCTGACGCGCTAATATCGATCGCGCAAACACACGAACACACGTCCACACGAACACACAAACACACTGACACGAGAACGAAAACATAACCTCCTCCAACTCCGTTGGGCAGAGGTAAAAACATAACCTCCTCCAACTCAGTTGGGCGGAGGTAATTATTTGCTATTCCAGTCACGACTTGCGGTATTACCATATTCGTGAATGGTTTAGCTGTGTGGATTTAAGCGCTTAGGTAGCATTTCACTGGCCAGCTCAAAATTATTCATTTCCTGTCAAATTCTGGCAGAACACTAATAAACTTTCACGTTTATTGCATTAATAATCGCTAATGTTTGAAACTCTGCGACCTGCACGTGAAACGATAGCTTCCTATATTTGCATAGGTTTTTATATTATTTTCTATTCTTTAGCGTGACCTTCACTCGTCTAATGCTACCGGCAATGTTTTGCCATCGCAGAAAACTTCAATATATTATTGGTTTTTTTTCAAAATAAATGCCACACTTTGTATACACAAATTAGCAAACAGACTAATGTGAACTAATCTTGAGTTTCTTGTATAGTTTATCGATTATTTTTTCAAGTATAGTTTTAATATCGATAATTAAAGTGCATCTTTGCAGGTTTATTTGCAGTTCGTGAAACTGAATTGAAACATCATTTCACAGCATCATTTGGGTGACGAAACGCGTAATTCGTAAATCTTCGAAACAATGTGTTGAAGTGTGATAGTGTTTATGTTCTACTTCGTGTGACAAATCCTGTGCAGAATATCAGGAAAAGGACATCTTATTTTCCGCAAATGTAGAGCGAAACATGCATGTATAATTAATTGTACTGAGGGTCTGTCACAGTCGCCCCCTCATATAATATCATCAGGAGATATCATACGGATGGCTAATTTCTGTCAGAGAACCGATGTGCCTTCTAGGTTGTCATAAGCCCCCATCATCACGCCACGACTGCCAAACAACAGTCAACAAGGAGAGAGTTCTGGGTCTTCTTTCCTTTGCAATTGATATTTTGCTTTCGCGTTGGGGTAGGGCCGTACCAGCGTTTACTTCCGATTTTTACGCACAGGTGATGTTTGTGAGGGGGCCGCTGTTCCTAGCACAGTAGTTAGGCAAATCACGGCATGTCTTTAGGAAATTAGGAACTAATAGACCACGCTAATAGACAATAGAATTGTTCTATACCAGACAATACCCGCGTGCCATCTGGCGATCTACTAAATGGCGAGACCCATTAACTGCTCTTGATCACGCGAACGTAAAGCCCTACCCGCGAATGAAGCCCTGCGCTGAAAACTCAGTATCTCGTCAGAGTCTAACAGATGGTGCGCAAGAGAGGGATGAGAGAGTGCCAGAGAGAGACAGAGAGAGACAGAGAGAGAGATAGAGAGAGGAGAGAGAAGATGTGAGAGAGAGAGAGAGCATGCAAGAGAGCCCATCTTCTAAATAGCTAGATGGGGAAAGCATTTGCTATAATCCGCTTATATAACAATGGTATAATTCTATAGGTATGACTATTGCAGTTATGTTTATGGCATCTGAATCTGATGGTGCCTACTATAATCTGCTATTAGTCTAGGTATACTATATGTATACTATATGTATAGTAACAGTATGTGTGTTTACCTGTACAGGTAGTAACAGTAATACTATACATCAGTATCATACTATATGTGTACTATCTGTGTACTATATGTATACCATATATATAGTCTGCTAGTGTATGCCAGTGTCTGTTAGTGTCTGCCAGTGTCTGTTAGTGTCTTATATTGGTAATATTATTTAATAATATAAATAACAATATAATAGACATTACTAGTTATCTGCTGTACTCTGCTATAGTCTGCTAGTGTCTACTATATCGTCAGCTATAGTCTGCTCGTGTTTGTTACAGTCTGTTACGGTCAGCTGTAACATGCTAGACTCTCACGATCAAAGGCCGTCTTCAAATAACAGAGTGTAATGCCGACTGGCTACTGTTGCCTGCAGTTCATTAGTAACGCAGAGCGGTACCATGCAACAACGCGAAATGAACGAGTGGAGCGTGTAACAAAAGTCCACTTAACAGTGTTGTAAATCATCCTCGCTAAATTTCTCGGTGTGTGAATCTCTAAATTGTTACCTTGCTATTCGTGTCATTTCCCATGGGTGCATGTGTATCTCATGTGCTCTTAGGTGTGAGAATACTACCATTCCTAGGTGTGTGTGAATTTTGCTCGTCTTATATGTGAATCCTAACATTCCTAAGTATGTATCTCAGTGCTTTCTTTAATTCCTGTCACCTCACGTGAATCTCACTATTCCTCCACGCCTTTACTCATTGCAACTGCACAGATATGTGGATATTCGTGTTATTACGTGCTGGGGTATATTATATGTTATAACTTGTCTTTATGATATATATCCATACCGCCGTCATGGCTCCAACGCTATATTTCATTAATCGAAGTAGATGCCACAGTGGGAAAGGCGTAAATTTGCACAGTTAGTTGAATGCACAACACAATCTTCGACATGTGTGTCACACAGTTTCACATCAAAGCGTTACGCCTACGTTATTATCAACGCGTTAATAATAGATAACCTCGAGCAAGGGAGTAATCCTTGAAATTCTGCGTTGCTATCGAGTTCGACTCTCTTGTGCGCATGTGCTCTACTCGTAGCTCGTTAGCGCAGGACTTCGCCCAGCACTCGCGTCGATATCATTGGCGACTGTGCTCGATTTTCACCATGGCAGCCACTATCCTCTTTGTCCCTATGAAAGGTGTCGTTAAAAAGTAAACTCGATAACCGTTCTTTGAAGGAAATGTTTGCCTTGCAGCCTCTCCAATTGTCGTGTTGCCCAAACGTTCCTATTTAATCTGCAGGCAAGTATTGCAATTTCGCCCCCCCACCCCTCTCCCGCGGCGATGCTGCATCTCTCGGGCAATGTCGGTGTCATCAATGATGCTGCAGGTCTCGTGCGTTTGGCTTCATCTACTGGGAGTGAGATTCTGCATCACACGCGCACGCGAATCAGAGAGACCTCTGCTTATTCGTTGGATTTGTCATATAATTTCCTCGCGACGAATGAGTATAGTAGTGGCTCGCGCGGAAATTCGCTCGGGGAGCGACGTGACTCGCGATCTGTCTCCGTAGGCTACGTGTCATCCGTGCGTCGGCGCGTGAATATGTGCCGCGATGAGAGTGTGTGCGTGTGTGATGATGACCAGCCTCGCCTCGCCTCGCGTGTGCGACGTCGTTGCCATGGCGAGGGCACAGAGATGCGAAGCAGCGTACTGATGCTGCGGAACGAGAGCATGCGACATCGTTGATTCGCGTGGTCATGTACGCCACCGTAGTCACTCGTAACTGGTTATAGATGGCAGTGTTAAATGGCAGAGGGCGTGTAATCGCGAATTGGGTGCTGCAGGGGTTTCGTTATGTTATTACCTAGTATTGTTGCAATCGAAAATTGTAATTTTTAATGCCACAAGAAATATTGGAAGCCTGGGCGTGACTCACACCCCCCCCCCGTGTTACTGGCCCAGGCTTCCTGTACCTACACAGTCACAGCTACTAGGGGTAGAAAAGTAGAACCACACCCCGTAATTCTAGCCTAGTTCTCCGCAACCCTCTGTTGTGACAGCTTCACGGGGTACCACCACATCACATAGTGCCAGCTCAGGTTTCCTTTACCACCATGGTCATCGCTACTAGGAACAGCTACACCCCAGAGCGTTAGCCCGGAGCATTTCGCGCAGGCATGAGATTCCATTGATATGAGGACACAGTCCCCTAAATTTCCCTACATTTCTACGCGATTCAATGACACCTCCCCTTCAGCTTCTGAGCATCCCCGAGTAACGCGTCTCAGCTTCATTATCTCCTCCTTTTGTCGGCAGGTCGTCCCGAAGGACTACAAGACGATGCAGGCGCTCTCAAAGGCCATCGAGAAGAATGTTCTCTTCGCTCATCTTGACGAGAACGAGAAAAGGTGAGCATGTTTCCGCGACAGCAGCGGCGTGCGCGAGCCGAATAGCCGAGACTGCCGCTTGTCTCGTGCGGCGACGCTTGCCGTCGTCGTCGTCGTCTGCGATGGAGGCGTGCGGGCGAGGCGCGCTGCCTCTGTGCGCAGCGCACGCGCGTGGCTATTGATTCGTGCACGTGTACGCACGCTTCTGCCGCATGGCGAGGATGGGCTCTTGTTGCGATGGCAGATCTCCAGAGTCGCCCCGAGCAATTATGTAGGCAGGTCGTTACGGCGTAATTTCCCTCTCAAAACGCGCTCATTTGAATTCCTCGTCCGCTTCATCTTCATCAAGTGATCATTGTCAGCACATATAGCTGTCATTACCAGTAGCTGTCATTAAAAATGGCTTGTACACGGGTGTTTATTGTCACATGTAGCTTGCACCCAGGTAGGTTTTATCACAGGTATATATGTGTGTATGTGGGGAAGTGATGTGTAAAGGATGCGCATCCACAGCTGTCACCGTGCGATAATGAGAGAAGTACCTATCACCATAGCTGTGCAGCGTTTACGCAACCGTTCGCTTCCCCACCCCCCACCAGAAGATCAATCTCAATATAGCTACGTGTCTGAAACATGCATCATAATGTGAGACGAGCACGTCAAGAAGCTTCTAAGTTCTAGTGGCTTCTCAGTAGAGTAAATCTCTCCCGTGGGTCTCATCGGCGCGTTGTAGCGAGGACTCGAGGAGTAGATGGTAATAAATGCTAACGTAATTCATGTATGTCGAGAGGTTGCCACGTTTTCAAACGGAGGTACATAATCAATTCATTTATTCATTTATTTATTCATTCATTCATTCGATTTCATATACTCATTCTTATTCGTAGCTGGCGAAACTCATGCATGCATATTGTTAGAAGATCTTAACGATTACTGCGAAAATGCGCACTGCACATGTAAGGTTTCCTTCTAACAAGAGGGAGGGCATGAGTGGGTGTAAGTAAATAAGGTGCTGGTTAGTTACACATGTAAATGTATTTATAGTTATACCGGCACAGACAAAGCCAGCCAGCACTTGCGACAGGCGATGCCGGGAACGTGTGTAATAATCTGTTTTACATGAATAACAACAACCTGGGTGTGCTCGCTACCTAATATCGGCTTCCAGATCACTCAATTATGTAGATATATTGCTGCTCGTACACGTTTGAATTGCATGAGGATTAGAAGACTCGGCCAGCTAGCTTGAATGCGTAATTGGCTAGGATTTAAGATGGCTGCTTTGATGACACTCACGCGCCGCTAGCTACGAAACACTCGAACCAACATCGCCACAAGTTAATTTGGGTTGTTATATACGTTGCCACACGATGAACTTAGCCAAACAGTAAATATTCCTCCACGAGCGGAGTCGTGTGCCTCCTCCTCAAGTCAGACGACCTTGCAGCAGCAGTATAAACAATGTGAAGGGCGCGGCTGTGTCAGTTGCATCTTCATATACTCTTAGATACTACAGGGTTATGTACCATGAATCCCCCTTCCCCTCAGCTTCAGGGCTATGTACCCATAGATAATACAGGGTTATGTGCCCTGTATCCCCCCCTCCTTCCCCTTATCCCTTGATTTACTTACCATGTTGTATAAGCCGGCCCTTGATGTGATTGAGTCTGATCTCTGCCGACACTAGTGCACTCTTGTCTGTTTGCAGTGACATCTTTGATGCGATGTTCCTGGTCATGCACCTAGCTGGAGAGACCGTCATAAAGCAAGGTAGGCTACGTCTGACAGCTAGCTCCCTGAGCACGCTGGCTACCCCTGCTCATACGAGCTTTACCTGTGATTGTGATTGAGAAAAAATATACCAAGTAATCAATCAATGATCAGTTGATTAATTGGTTAATTTATTGATTCATTGATTGATTGGTTAACTGGTTGATTAGTTGATTGTTGACAACTGATCGAGTTCCTAGCAAATAACTTTGCTAAGAGAAGCAAAAGATGACATCATTTTGAAATCTTTCAATGATTTGGAGCATTCAAAGTTTTGAATGATCATAATTTTCTACTACCACATATATTATATGAATATAAACCTTTATACATCATATATATATGCATAGAGTGCACTTGTAGTGTATAGCGTGTTGATTCGTGTTTACTACACCTGCGTAATTGCTGTGGGTTAATTTGAATCTTAATATAAATCGAAATGCTCTCCACGCCGGCTGTCTGTGCATGCAGAGAAATACTGACTAGGTTACAATAGCTATTTGATCGTGAGCTCCCGTGTCTGAGTAGAAAAATTATCATTATTACTACTTTGGGACCCGAGTACATAATATATCATCGTCATCATTACGCTGTCCTTGTCCCTCACCTTTAATTATAACATAGTCTTATCACCAACATTAACCCTAACCTTCACCCTAATCCTAATCCTGTCCTAATCGTAGGCCCGTCAATAAATCCAGGGTCCTAAAGTAGAATTAGACCGAAGACCGAGAGTAGAATTAGACCGAAGAATTGTGACTATTACTTCCTATCTCCCTACAAGAGTTCCTCTCTTGTATAGAACCTGTAATTTAACATCCTCTACTTGACACGATCACTCAGGTTGATTGTGGAGAGATCTGCTCCCTACAGCACTCCCTATCAGAGATTTGCGCATGTGTATTGCTTGTGCACTGCCCCTGCCGATGATCTGGGTTTATAACATGATCATATAACGCCCCTAAGTAGAGAGCTGCGCTTGTGTAGCAGTGTTAAAGCGCCCTCTACCCGGCACGATCACTCAGGGGATCGTCAGTGTGGCTGGTGACAGTGTGTCCTGTTACATGACACAGGTGACGAGGGTGACAACTTCTACGTGATTGACATGGGCGAGGTGGAGGTGTTTGTCAACGACGAGATGGTGACGACGATCAGCGAGGGAGGCAGCTTTGGCGAGCTGGCCCTTATCTATGGGACCCCACGTGCCGCCACCGTGCAGGTGAGTGAGTTAGGTGCTAACGATGTCACCGTGCAGGTGAGTGAGTTAGGTGCTAACGATGTCACCGTGCAGGTGAGTGAGTTAGGTGCTAACG